CCCACGTCGGGTACCCCTTAAAAGGGTTTTTTTGCCCCAACAAAAGGGCCCCCCGGGGTGCCCCCCCCCCCCCCCCCCCCCCGCTCGCGACGATGAGCAAAGGAACTGCCTGTTATGTGCTACCCGGACAAGACCGTAGTCATATTTACTGGTGTCCCTTCCAGAAGTCTGCAGCAGCAGTCGCACCGACAACATGCTTTTCATACACCGAGACGGGTCTATTTTCGACACACACCCGTGGCCTCGAGAGCATGCAGATCAACGCTGCTGATGCCCTGTAAGCTTGACTGTTGGTTGGGGTACTTCTAGTGGAAACCTATTTAACTGGGGAGGAGACATCTGCTTTCAAGAGCAACATTGCCCGAAGAGGCAATCGTCAACTTGGGTGGCTACCAACCCCCCGTCGTTGGTCACAAGCTGGTTACCCTGCGTCTTGTGTCGTTTTGGACGATGCGTAGTTCATTTATCTAGATCAAACCCTGTAGGGCAGCAGCATCCATACCTACGTTGGCGGACTTAGCCATCAACCGTGCAGGTCACCCGCTGTCTAGGTGACAGCCAAAACATTCACAAGAACCCAATAAGACTAGACTTGCCCCTCCCCAACCCAACTCCCCGTCCCACCGAGGGCTGGTCTCAGTCGACCACTGGCACTACTAGCTTCATTCCGAATCACTGCTGTATGTAATCCGAACTGTCGACGACGACACTCACGCGAGACCATTCCATTCTAAAGAAACATCTCCGCTACCCCCGCCGGTTGCAGGGCACGGGTTTGAGTCCTTGGAGGGGTTTCCGGGGCCGTGCTGGACAGGACTTGCTGCACACGTCTCGGCGGATGCTCGTCCAGCCTTCGCCGCTACTTCAGCCGCCATGGCCGCTACATTGGCGGTATTATCATCTTCCATGTCTTCGTACGAAAGGGCGGGGAAGCCAAGACCTACCTCCTTCGCGCTCGTCTCTTTTCGGACTGCGATGGCATCCTTGCGAGGACGCCCTCGCCCTTTGCCCTGTTTCGTCTGGTAAACGCTTCCAGCATCTTTCTTGGAGTCTTTCTGCGGAGAGTACAAGCTGGGCGCTGTTTTAGAGGGATCGCCCGGTGCCGTTGCTTCGACGCCGCTCCGGGCACCTAGGTGGGGCTTCATCGCGCCGTTTTCGGATTTTCTTGGGCGGCCTCTCTTGCGGGGTCCGGTGCCACCTCCTTCTGCCGCACCGTTCTCCACCACCTTTCGTGGCCGACCTCTTTTTCGAGGCTGTCCGGTAGCTGGGTCAATGGATGGCATCTTGTGCGATTTCCGTGTGCTCGTAGCGCGCGCCCTTGCCGACGAAGCCTCGGACTGCAGCCCCAGCCCGTCGCAAGAGTGCCAGGTCCCATCGATGAGGCCTAGCCTGGACAATCCGGCTCCGGCAGTCGTCCCAGCCGCCCCTGATGTTCCTGCCTCTATTTTTCTGGGCCGGCCTCGTTTCCGTGGCAGCCCGGTGGCTGGATCTATCGACGGGGTGCTCTTGACCTTCGGTTTCTTTTTTTTTCTGGACGCGCCGCTGGATTCGTCGGACGCCTCACCCTCAGAAGCTTCGGATGATTCGTCCTGTTCGTCTGAGGATACGTGGTCTCCGTCTACCGACTCGTCTCTGGATCGGAAAAGGGCGGTTCAGTGCAACGCAAAGCGAAACCGATAATCAGCTCAGGTGCGGGAGAGCGTGTAGCCCGGGAAAGCCTCGGCTGCAAGAAATTACACTCGTCATGAGGTCTACACTTTGCACGGCACAAAGGACTGGGAGCCCTCTCTTGGCGGTACAACATGGAAATATGACACATACGGGGACTTACCCGAACACGGTTTTATTGAGCTTTACGTAGTCCACGCTTTTTCTTCGTCGAGTGCGACTCTCGATGATGTTGGCGGTGTCCACAGTGTTCCCGGCTAGGGCTGCCGTGATATCCCTACCACCGTGGAAACGAACAAGTGGGGTTCGAGGGAGCGAAGAACGTACGACGGAGCGAACAATCTAACATCAACGGTCACAGCAGTCGAACGAAGCACGACGCCAACCAGGGCGCATGCGTCTCACCAGGCGGCACCACCTGGCGGGAGGTCAGAGATAAGGTAACGTTTGGGTTCGAGACGATTTATTGGCAAATGTCTGGCGGAAGTTCGTATTTTTTCACATGCTACGTACTCAACATGTGTGCTGCCTTTATACTGAAGTATAAATCTGCAAAGACCTCCATTTGGCTGCCGTTCGTGACGAAACACGGTTACTTCGTGGTTGCTCCTCCAAGTGCTGAAGTGGACCATCCCACCCAATTATTTCTAATCAGGCCGTTTCTTGCATCGTTCATTTTCACCGACGTAGGACGGCGACTGCATGGTAAAGCAAAAGTGCTCAGCGCTGGGTGGCAATTTTTCGGGCATACGTTTCCGATGATTATATTGAATACGAAATTACACGCTGGGATGGATATTGCCGTTGCTTCCAGCGACCACCCCAACGCTGAGTCGGAACCAAATCTAATCTTGCGCGGGGCGTCCTCATTGGGGCTAGCTTTAGGCGCAAATTACCCCTGACCCTAAACCGTGCGGAGAAATGTTCATGTGTTTTATTAAGACACTTGCCATCATTCGGACGCTCTTGAATTTTTCGCATGTAGTCCGCATGAAACTCTTGCCAACAAACTCATAAACTCCCTTGTTGGAGGAGTGTCGCAACCTTACAAGGCGAACCATGCCACAAAAAAAGCTTTACGTTAAATTATACCTCTGGTTGTCGTCTTCGAACTCAAAATGGCCGTCACCCTCTATCGAGTACCTCTTAAAGGTAAGGAAACAAACGTCTCTTCGGCACCAAATGTGCAGATAAAAAAAGAAAAACCCCAAAGCAAGGAAATTAGTTCCTAGCAGGCACAGAGCAGGGCCGGGCAAGGAACAGTCTCACCCCCCCCCCCCCCCCCCCCCCGGGGTTGGCCCCGGGGGGTGGGGTTTCCCTTTTTAAAAAACCCCCCCCCCCCCGGGTTTTCCCCCCGGGGGGGGTTTTCCCCCCTCGGGGCGGAGGTTTTAAAAAAAGCCAAAACTTTTTTGGGTCCGGAAACCAGGGAACCCCTTTTTTTTTTCCCTCGGGTTTTTTTTTTTTTTGGGGACCCCCACAAAGGGGGGCAAAAAAAAAATTTGTGGGGCTGGCGGGGGGGCAAAACCCCCCCCCCCCCCCAAGGGAAAAACCCCCCCCACTTGGTTTGATTTTTT